CAGTTTGTATCATACTCTCATTTGTCATCCTCATATAGAGCGTTTGTGTCCAATATTTCCTCTGTTAGCATTCCTAACCATTTTCAGGATGCTCTTGCTACCTTTGAATGGAAACTAGCCATGATTGAGGAAATGAAAGCACTTAGGAAGAATGGCGCTTGGAAATTGACTGAGTTACCTCCGGGCAAACGACCTGTGGGATGTAAATGGGTATATACTGTGAAACACAAAGCAGATGGGTCTATTGAGCATTACAAGGCAAGACTTGTGGCAAAAGGGTTTACTCAGACATATGGCATTGATTATCAGGAGACCTTCGCACCCGTGGCTAAAATGAAGTCAGTCAGAGTACTTCTCTCTCTAGCAGCTAATCTAGATTGGCCGCTTTATCAGTTTGATGTCAAGAATGCTTTTCTCCATGGTGACCTCGAAGAAAAAGTATATATGGACATTCCTCCGGGTTTTGAGGATCATCAAACAGAAGGCAAAGTATGCAAACTTCGGAAGTCATTATATGGTCTCAAACAGTCTCCAAGGGCTTGGTTTGAGAAATTCACTCAGGCTATGTTTAAATATGGATTCAAACAAAGTCAGGCAGATCACACATTGTTTGTGAAACATTCCTCACACGGTAAGACTACAGCACTTATTGTTTATGTAGATGACATAGTTCTTACAGGCAATGATAGTGGGGAAATACCTCTGTTGAAGAAATATTTAGCTAAAGAGTTTGAAATCAAAGACTTGGGCAGCTTGAAGTATTTTCTGGGAATTGAAGTTGCTCGCTCTAAAGATGGGATATTTATCTCACAGAGAAAATATGTACTTGACCTGTTGAAGGAAACTGGGATGCTTGGCTGCAAAGCATGTGCCACTCCACTGGAACCAAATCAGAAATTGGGGGATGATGAAGGAGGAGAAGTTGTGGATAAGGGGAGCTATCAACGATTAGTGGGTAAGCTCATTTACCTATCTCACTCCCGTCCTGATATTGCTGTTGCTGTCAGTATAGTTAGTCAGTTTATGCATGCTCCTCATCAGATTCACCTTGAGGCTGTCATGAGAATCTTGAGGTATCTGAAGTCTGCTCCTGGTAAGGGTCTGTATTTTTCAAAGTATGATCATCTTCGTGTAGAAGCCTATACAGATGCTGACTGGGCCGGGTCAGTAACTGATAGGAGATCAACTTCAGGGTATTGCACATTTGTTGGCGGCAACCTAGTTACTTGGAGGAGTAAGAAACAAAATGTGGTTGCCAGGTCAAGCGCAGAAGCTGAGTTTAGAGCTATGGCACAAGGTGTGTGTGAACTTTTATGGATCAAATTATTGTTGAGCGTGATCTAGGATATTGACCAAGACGGACTCCATGCGGTTATACTGTGATAATAAGGCCGCTATCAACATCGCTACAATCCAGTTCAACATGACAGGGCAAAACATGTTGAGATTGATCGCCACTTCATTAAGGAGAAACTCACTAGTGGTATCATTTGTACTCCCTTTGTCCAGTCTGGTGAACAACTTGCTGACATTCTCACCAAGGGGATTGGGAATAAACCATTTCATAACATATTAGGCAAGCTGGGCATGAGAGATATCTTCGCACCAGCTTGAGGGGGAGTGTTAGCATATTATATTAAGTGTTAGCATATTATATTAGCCGAAAGGTACACTAGGGTCTGTCTGTAATCATTTTATGCACTCAGGGATAGTACTCGGGGATCATCTTGTAATTGCCTTTCTTGTAAACCCTAATCTTCATTTATAAATAGGGGGTGATATTCTATCATTCCTCAAGCTGGTTACCCAAGCTTCAGAAATGGTAGACAAATAAACTAATTTTATATAGATTAAAATTATATTTAAAAGTGGCTCAAGTTTGAAAAATCCTAAACCGATTAAACCGCACCAAACTAAACTGTTTCAATCAGTTTGGTTCGGTGCGGTTGATGGGAAAAGTGGCCTGTATCGGTGTTCAAAAATAATAAAATCAACATTATCAGTTTGGTGTAATTTTTTACCTAAATACCGATCGTACCGAACCGATTACATCCCTACTTAAACTAGGGAATGCTAACTTGAGCTTGGCCAAGGATGGATGACCCAAACAGACGTGTTTTTTTTTTGATTCAACTTTCTAGATTAAATTTTTTGAAAATCGAGTTTTTTGTTTTTCATATTTTTTTATTTTTAGTGAATATTTTTAAAATTTTAAACAATTTTTTTACTTTTTTTGATGCACCTTACTTAGATGTATCTAAAAAGTAAAATATTTGTAAAAAAATATTTTAAAAAATCGATAAATACACAAGAATACGAAAAATGTACTGAATTTTCATCTTTTTTGGATTTTTGGTATTTAGTGAACTTTTTAAAGATTTTTTTCACAAATATTATATTTTTTAATTGTATTTATGCTAGGTGTATCTAAAAATTAAAAAATTGCTTAAGATATTAAAAAAATTCAGTGAAAACAAAAAAATGAGGAAAACGAAAAAATTTAATTTTCTGAAAAGTGAATTCAGAAAACTCAAACCAAACAAGCTGATTAGCACTCAAAACAACAAAACTAGAAGGAGGAGAGCTAGCAGTGTCCAAGAAATATAAGCCATCCTTAATGGTGCATTATGTGTTGTAAGAGTGGGAATCCGTGGATCATTTATTCTTGCATTTTCCAATAGCTTTGAATTTATGGCATAGATTGTTTTGTTTTGGAAATGTTATGTGGGTGACCCCAAAAAGGAGTGCGCATATGCTCTTAGTTGATTTTTGCACATTTGGGGGATCGAAAAGAGCCAAACTTCTATGGACTTTGCCGTCTTTGCAACTTTTTGGGTTCTATGGATGGAGCGA